ACGCTGTGTACAGTGTATAACACTCTACCGAGGTACAAAGGTAAGGTGACCCTGGTCTACAGAACTTTATGTTAATACTTTAAGACCCTCCTCTCCCTCCAGTGGTACAGCGGTAAGCTTGTGAGTTTATAAGGCCAAAATTGGGGATTCGATCCCTGCTTTAGGGGCTACGCCGGTATTCCATTGTGCAACTTCCAGCTTTAAAATAAACATATCATTTAAAAACATAGATTTGGTAGTGTGTATATATATATATTGACATTTTTTTAATATTTCAGTTTAGTTATGGAGTATTCATAATTCTACTGTTGCTGACTTCCACAACTAAAATGATTGTGGGGCTTCAGACCATAAAGCCGTTACTACAATATTTCACAAAGGAACTTCGATTACTCTTCCTTGAAATACTCAGTTCTCTTCTGTGTACCACATGCGTTAATTGGATTTATTTTCAACCGGGAAGAGCTAGGAATTTTGCGCGTTCTATCTCCTTTATGCCAGAAATATAAATTTAAAGAAAATGTTGATAGTGTCTTGTTTTTGTTTTCATAACTAGGTGGTTTTTGTTTTAGAATACCATAAAATTTTGAACCTAAACCAGATCTAAACAGAAAAGTCTTTATTCAGTATAGGAACCTCTGACGATTCATTCATAAAAAAAATAGTATCAAAAAGCATTTAACTTGGTATGTGTTTGCTAAGTAAGGTAATGAAAACTGTGTAAGTATGCGAACAGAACCGAGCTAAATTCTGATCTCTTAATTTTATTTACAGAAAATTCTAAATTATTTGCATTATTTGTCTTATTGTTTCTTATTCGTTCTCTCTCTCTCAAACACTCCCCGGTTGTTAAAAATAGGGTTTTGATACCCGTGGTTGGCAGATCACAGATAACTTATTGTGTACCGTTGCGCTTAACAACAACCTCTCTTATTATTTGCATATAATATATATATATATATATATAATTTTGTAACCTAATATCTTTCATTATTTAGATACTGTTCCTCCATTTCGCAGGTATTTCCTGGTATGGTCCCTTACACCAAAAGAACAGCTTTTGACAAGAGTGGGCTCCCTATGTACCAGCCAAGTACCACACCGTATCAACAAGCCATCACCATGCAGGTTCAACAACCCTTTGTGCCTGTCTCGTGTGAGTTTTACAGCTTTACTTGTGCCGACGTTTCGATTAATATAGTAATTTGTAGCATATTTTAGGTTTAGCTTCGAATATGCAAAAGGGTAATGCTAAAATCAATGATGTAATTCCAAAGAGTTTGATCGATAAAACGTACAGAGGGTTGGTTTTTATTTTAATCTTTGTAGTCCAGGTAGGCTTGTTTTCATCCATGTATCATATTCCAGCCATATTGGGTCAGTCGAAGTGTAGTGGTTAACGTGCCCTGACTGGATCAGAGGATTCATGGCTCGCGACCCGCTCCCGCCAAAATCATGATCCAAACGTTGGGACCATGCATAGGTGTGCTGTATGAATGAGAGTTAAGTTCTACTATTAAATTAGGCAAGAACAGCACCATAGTTGACGGTGGGCGCTATTGACTATCTTCTCTTCCTTTTAGTCTATCATTTCAAAATTATGGAAAGCTATGCGTTGATAAGCCTTATGTAGCTTTGCACGAAATACTGAAACAAAACAACTTATAAAACAATTAATTTTAACTGCGTTAGTTGAACTTGTATCATTAGACTATTGATAATAATAGGGCTGTAATTCTAAACCGTTTACTGTAATCATTGTTTTGAAAAACATATTTTGATGAAAAAACTTTAAAATAATCACTATGTTTGAATCAGAACTACAATAATAACAACACAATGTAAATGAAATTATCCAATTTTTATTCAGACTATTCACTTTCCTAGAGTCGGGATTTCCCGTAAGTAGTAAAGAACGATCATATGTTGTGCAATTTGACAGTTGAAATAAGAGACATGTTCGTTGTCAACTTCCTCTTTAACAGTGATGAGTCAAATGTAACACAGAAATCGAACACGCAAGTTGATTATGTCTAGAATTAAAACTGTAATCACGAGCGACTGCCGTGACGTTCTGATTTTTTTCACAGTGATGTTTCAGTATGTTTGTGAACATGCTTACAGTCTATTAAGAAACTAATCAGAACACAGATCTTTTCAAAGCAAGCACGTGGGTTTTTCTCGTGTATGTATATACACCCAAGTTCGCTGCTTTTTTTGTGTGAGTGTGATAGTTGTCTCGAATCTTATTCTAACTCTTAATTAATGTTCACGATGCAGTTTATTAACGTTAATATCACGTAAACCTGAAAAACAAAATTCACTTCTTGTGACCTAAAACATAAACTTAATAGTAAAGGGGTCAAAAAACTTAAAAAATAATATAATTAATGGGAAGTTTTGAATAATTTTAGTTTTCCTGTCGTTATTATAGGTCGTACGATAAAGTTATGATTCTAATAGGTCATTCAACTACCGAAGTTTGATATATACAATTACGCAATCCGTGTAAAGGATGAGTGAATTCTTGGATGTAATAACATACTACGAGTAGAGATATGCGAAACGCTATCCGTAATTAGTCTTTCACTATTAGTTTCTTCTTAAGCACTATCTCAGTGTCTTAAGATCAACGCACTGAGATACGTATTAAAGAAAAGCTGTGGATCTGGAGATGGCTAGATAATCGCATCTCCTTTGAGTTGTGGCATCTTAAAGGCACAGTTGCGCGTGACAGTTATAAAGAGTTTTAACTCACTGAAAAGCTAATAGGATGCAATAATATTCTATATCGAAATTGAATTTTTATATTTGTTGAAATTGTAAATTACTTTCTTAGAATATAAGCACTCTTAACGATATCTCCTCGTCTACATTGTTTTGTTTCTAATCAAAGTTTTCAATTATCTTCCAGATCTGGCATGGAATTTTAGTGGCTAATTTGATTAACTAGATTTCCTAAAACTTAATGAGCTAAATTTTCTACAGCCTTCTTGTAAACTTTCCTTGAAAATGTGTTTTATCAGCACTTTATTTTATCGCTGTCAATGTTTTAATTACCTTTGTTTCCACTTCTTCTACAGGGCATAGCTTGTTATTGTTCGGGGAGTGGAGGGGGGGGGGCTTCTGTGTTGCTATGACAACCATACTCGTCACTTTCGCCTTCATTTCTGTGTCTAACTGGTTTAGACAACACGTATTGTACTTTCAACGTTAGATAAATGCTATCAACAGCTTTGTTGCTTCTTGTAACATACTGTCAGCGATGTTGTTTTCTTTGTAGACTGGCCTTTCTAAAACCTTTTAGCTTTTTATCGCTTTAGTATTAATAAAACTTTGTTTAAAAAAAAGTATGCTCCGGAATTGACGTTATATTTAATGTCGCTGTGTCTATTTAACTTTCTAAATTGTCTTTGGGCGATTTGTGCAATGGTATTCCATTAAAACTTCAAGTGGAAATTTCTCTAAAAGAAACTATTATTAAATCCAAGAAGTTGTAGATTTATACGTATGAAGAGACGTGAAAAGATTGTGAATGGAATTAACTGTTATTAAAGCATCCACTGGGGAGTCTTGAGATTAATACTACGAAGAAACTGGAATTTTCTAGACATTAGTTTCACATCAAAGAGAGATTTCACTATAGAGATGTTAAGAGAAGTAATGAATAGCTATAGAAACACGATAAGTTGTGTCGAGAAGGCTTCAAGTTGGATTGGAAACAAAATGAAACTTTAATACCAACAGCTTTAGCCGACTAATCTACGCTGTTGTAAAAAAGTAGGCTTAAACAAAAGGTATAACAATAATTTACTGCAGTGGCGGCTCATCCTTAGGGACAGTGTCCCACCTATAAAAAAAAACTAAACCAATCGATTTTTTTTTTTGTAAAGTCGACAGCATTTTTAGTTTTACTACTGCCAGGAACTTATATTCTACAATGATAATAAAGATGAATGTTTTCAAATATAAAACCTTAATTACATAAATATAAATATTGAATACCGTTACGAGCTTATAGGACAATGCGCGCTATACTCCTGTTCATCGCATTATACTTCTGGGCTCAACGAAAATATAACATTTTCGATTACTTTGCTGTAACTGGGGCAGTTGAACGAGAGCCCGTAGTAAAAATATCTCGACTCTGAATAACATGAAAATAAATTATATTATGAAATAACGTTGATGCTAAACGTTAGGTGTTAGACAGAAATGGTGGTTTAAATATTTTAATCGCTAACTAACTTCGATATAAAGAAGGAAATAAAACATTAAATGGAAATTGAAATTCTTCGATTCTCAAAAACGTCGTGTCATTGGAACACCGTACTACTGGCAGAGCTGCAAGCAAAGCAGGAAGACAGGGGCGAATGAGGGATAGCCCGCTAGAGCGGCAATGCCAAGAAGTGCATTTCGTTTTCGTTGGTAAGTTGAACAGGTGCAGGCAGCCCGGCATGGCCAGGTGGTTGGGGCGCTCGACTCGCAATCTGCGGGTCGCGGGTTCGAATCCCCGTCACACCAAACATGCTCGCCGTTTCAGTCGTGGGAGCATTATAATGTGACGGTCAATCCCACTATTCGTTGGTAAAAGAGTAGCCCAAGAGTTGGCGGTGGGTGGTGATGACTAGTTGCCTTCCCTCTAGTCTTACACTGCTAAATTAGGGACGGCTAGCGTAGATAGCCCTCGTGTAGTTTTGCGCGAAATTCAAAACAAACAAACAGGTGCAGTGATTAGCGTTTTTTTGATTGTTATTGAGTTTTGAAATAAATCATTAAAGTATATTAAAAAGTGACAGTGTAATTGTTTGACAAGCATAAACGATCTAAAGGTAAAGTTTGTGTGCTAGTGATCGTGACTGTTTGTGCAAACCCAAAGTACGATAAATACATTTTTAGATGAAAATTAAAAGACATAAATTAGCTTTATCCTAGCCATAATGAATACTATAGCAATTTATTAAAACTCCTTTTTCCCAAATGAAAATGTAGGAGAAGATGCTTGTTAAAAATTTAGGCCCCCATCAACCAAGAGATTTATTTATGATCCGAAATAATAAAGGTGGAAAAAGATCGTTTGCTCTTCGCTGGTTCCGTAAAAAGCGGAACTGTCTTATCGTAAGCGAAGAAAAAAGAAGACTTTATTTTGCTTTTACTGTTTGCTTTTTGAAGGCGAAAGCTTATGGACGAAGACTGACTGCTCAGATCTCAAACATTTATCAAAGAGAATCAGCAATCATGAAAAAAGCTTAAAGCACATAGATGATTCAGTTTCTTATGAAATGTTTGGTTCACTGAATATTTTGGCTCAATTAAACTCAGGCTATCGTCTGTCAGTCCAAAAGCACAGTGAACTAGTAGAAAAATAGGCACACATTAAAACGTACCGTTGAAACAATAATATTTTGTGGGACACATGAACTGGCATTTCGAGGTCATGATGAATCGGCAGCATCAAATCATCATGAAATATTTTTAGACCTGTTGGGGGAAAAGGCTCAGCTAGATATCCTTTTAGAAGCGCACTTGACAAATGCCTCTATTTTTCGAAAAACACATTAAAGACCATCCAAAATGAGCTACTAGATTGCACGCTTAACATCTATCAGAATGAAAATGAAGAAGAAATTTCTAATGCAATTTACGTATCAGTTCAAGCAGATGAAACGCCTGATATTTCACGCAGGTCCCAATTTCTAGTTATTTTGCGGTACGTAAAAGACAGCCAACCGGTTGAAAGATTCACCTCATTTGTCGAAGTTAGTAACAGAACCGCAGTTGGGTTATACACTGTCCTGCACGAGCATTTACAGCAGTATAAAGTTGAGGGAAAGTTCAATGCTCAAGTGTACGATGGTAATATAAGTGGAGGACAAGGAGGAGTACAAGCTGTTATGAAAGAACACTATCCTAATGCAATTCACGTGCACTGCTATGCTCATCAACTGAACTTAATTTTGAAGAAAGCTTGCTCTTCAATCAAACAAGTACAAATTTTCTTCGCTAGCATTTCTAAATTTAAAACATTTTTTTAAGTTCTCCCAAGCGCAGTGACATCTTGCGTGAAGTTAGTGGACACACTATTCCAAATACGGTTGAAACTGGATTGAATTTTCATGGAAGAATTGTTAGCTCTGTTCTTGAAAATAAGGAGAAACCGATTGATGCATTACAGAGAATTATGAATGATGAAAAAATGGATGATCACAGCTTGTGTGAGGCAAGTGGCCTTTGGAATTAGATTAATGACAACACATTTAATTACTTGTTAGCTTTTTAGTAGGATGTGTTGCATGAAACTATACAGCCTCGAAGCAAGCTCGAACAGATTAAAAGCTCCAGATACATTATCGCACTTTGAAGCAGCGATATTTGACATTCGCGTAAACATGCACAAATATTTACCAGACGATTCGGCTAAGAACAAAGGCAGTGCTCAGGTCAGAAAACGAGCCCGACGTGATCCACTGGAAAATTTGGAGCAAGATGCCAAAGCTGTTTGTGATGTCATAATAAGTCAAATGAAGATCCATTTTCAAAATTCACAAGTCTTCTCCTCCTTTGCCTTAATTGATTTATCAAAGTTTCACTTGTATAAAGATGCCTTTCCAGAGGAAGATGTAAGCACTATTTGAAAACAATACAACATGATTACGAAAGAACCGAAAGTTCTCTACCGGAATGAAACCTTCAGGCATTTGAGAAACTCTCGTGACCTTTCAGCTTTTTAGAACAACAAGGAACTAGTCAATACATTTTCTGTAACATCGAAAGTGTTAGAAATTGTACTTGTAATTTCAGTGGCCACTGCAGAATCGGAACGATACTTCAAGTCTCAAGAGAATTAAAACTGTTCTTCGGAATTTAATGTTTCAAGACAGATTGAATGCACTTGCCATTTTGTCCATTCAAAGAGAATTAATCAAGAGGATTCCACAGTTTATCACTAGAGTTACCGACTTTTTGCCGCGCAAAAAATAGAAGGGGAAGAGTACATTCACGAGTAAATGTTCAAGGTAACCTTATTCGAAAATTTCAACATTAAATATTGATTTTTCCTAATATAAGTCTATAAGATCTATGGATTTTCGTAATATTGTATGTATATGAATAAACTATGATACATCATACTCTCTATATATACAAATATATTACTTTTAAAATGATAAAAAAAATTGTTTGTTTGTTTTGAATTTCGCGCAAAGCTACACGAGGGCTATCTGGGCTAGCCGTCCCCAATTTAGCAGTGTAAGACTAGAGGGAAGGCAGCTAGTCATCACCACCCATCGCCAACTCTTCGGCTACTCTTTTACCAACATATAGTGGGATTGACCGTCACAATATAACGCCCCCACGGCTGAAAGGGCGAGCATGTTTGGTGTGACGGGGATTCGAACCCACGACCCGCAGATTGCGAGTCTAGCGCCCTAACCACCTGGCCATGCCGGGCCAGACAAGAGGGAAAACAGCTAGTAAACAGTACCCACCGCCAAGACTTGGGTTACTTTGTTTTAAACCTAATATTAGGATTTGACTGTCGCTCTTACAACGCACTCACGCCCCCAAAGTACGGAGTGCGATGTTTTTTGCAGTAACAGGACGCGAACAACGGAACCTCAGCTCCACACTTCGAAACGATATCCACTGGGCCGAGTTCGGCCCACCATTCAGATTGCGAGTCGAGTGCCCTAACCACCTGGCCATGCCGGGCCTAAAAAAAATTGAAATCAGCCTCTAAATTTTACTTTCGCCCCACCTGCCTGAAAGGTCACGAGCCGCCATTGATTTATTGTTTAAATAAAGAAATTAGCGATATCATATCTTCATTGCAAATTCTTACAGTAAACATAGAGCTACAAAAATGGAAACATTTTCCGGTGCTGAGCTCAAAAAACTGATAAGTTGTTAATGGGATTGGCATTTTTTTTAGCTGCCCTCCAACGCGAGGAATCGAACTCCGAATTTTGGTGTTATAAGTCCGTAAAATTACCGCTGACCCACCGGGGTAGCTGCTTTCATTTCGAATTGAAATGTTGGCTGCGATACCTTTGTGAAATACTGGGGCAAAAAAAAAAAAATGGTGCATTTATACTTAAAATGCTTCTTCTTTCAGTAGATAAAGGTGTAAAACATTTTCGCATGAAAATCTCAGACAAATAAGCTTTCAGAGTCCAAAAATTAAACAACACAAATTGTTAAATATTAAGGAAGGATGTACCTGAGTAAAATATGTGACTATATTTGTGACGCTGCTTTATTATATTAAGAAGAAAATACTTTTGTGTGTACATAGTTTTATCAAATTATTAGAATATCTTCATACGTACTCTCTGTCAGATTGATCTGTTTATTCGTATATGCATATATATTAAAATGTATACATGTATATGTAAATTAATAAATAAATAATATATATATATATATATATAGTCTAGACCTGTTTCATATCTAACTTAGCTATTGATCTAGCGTTCACTGGAAAAACTTGAGAGTGTTGATCTCAGTTGGACATTTTACCCAATTTTTAGCTGATAAGTATTTTAAGCTGGTTGTAAGCTTATATGTATATTTATATATTTAAGATTCATGACTTAAAGCCGTTTATGAGGATTATTTAATGAGATTAGACATTAACTTTTTTGTAGTTGCTGTACACCCTGGAAATGTGCCGAGATTTTAATTCAGGTTTGTGTAATCGACCACCTTATTACTCTGTCCATGTATCAGAAGGTAAGTTAAAGAAATAAAATTAAATTAAATTTTATTCATCAAAAATGGGGTTTTAGATGTTGGTTTAGAAAACACAGTCGCTTAGCTTCTTAATGCGTGTGTTGTGTTTTTTATGTGCACTCACATGTTTTGAAATGATATCTCCACTGGAGTTTTTTAGCCTAATGCATGTGATCTTATATCAAACATGGTATCGACCAGAAGAAGAACAAAGTATTATGCTTGTCATCAGACATTAGTATTAAACCTATCATATTTCTAAACACTACATTCTTTATCTAGTCCTTGAGAGATTTTCAAGAAGTAGACGAGTGTATAATAACAGTATTATATCCACACTGTATTTGCTTTTTTCATTGCCGACGACGCATTTCGCCTTATCCAGAGTTCTTCGGACTGCCTGAAATACAACAGTGGTCGAAACACTATTTATATAAGCTGTTTATTACAAAAGTGGCAAATACAATATGGATGGAATACCATTATTATACACGCTTCTAATTTTTGAAAATCCCTAAGGAACCAGATAAAGTAGTATTTCAAAATATAATAGGCCTAATACAAATGTCTTATGACTAGTACAGTTAATTATAATCATGCTTCGCCAGCTTGTAAAAGGCTTTCACACCATGATAAATACGGCCCGGCATGGCCAGGTGGTTAGGGCGCTCGACTCGCAATCTGAGGGTCGCGAGTTCGAATGATGCTCATCCTTTTAACCGTGGGGGCGTTATAATGTGATGGTCAATCCCACTATTCATTTGTAAAAGAGTTGCCCAATAGTTGGAGGTGGGTGGCGATGTCTAGCTGCCTTCCCTCTAGTCTTACACTTCTAAATTAGGGACGGCTAGCGCAGATAGCCCTCGTGTAGCTTTGCGCAAAATTCAAAACAAACAAACCATAATGATTGTCAACAATATATACGTGTTTCTACGAGATATTTATACTATATATATAACATAAACTGTCGTCTAAAAACTAATACATTTGAAACCTTGTTTTTATTATTTATAAGATTTTTTTAACTCCTAAATATCGAGTAACACAACACCTCCCCGAATCATTTTAAGAAAACAAGAAGTAAACATTATCGATATTTTTACCCGTTGACCCTGTCACAGCGCCTGCTAAGCTACACCGTCATTGACAATAAGCACAATTGTTTAGATTATCACCTGAACTGGTTATTCAGAAGCAAAGATGTCAAACTTACAAACTATGTTAAATAATGTATAGAAACTAATAAAATCCTATAACCCGAGCACTTTCGGAAGATGGACCTTTCTTCTTCAGGGGCAAACTGTTATCAAATGGGTGATATATATAAAGGGAGTTTAGTGACGTCATGAAAGTCATCCGGTTTTCTCGGAAATATTTAGTCTATTTCTTTATGTACTGTTGTAAGAAGCAACTCATTTCCGGTACAGTGTAGCCGATGGCGAGAGTGAAAAGGTGTTAGGGATATTTTACTTTAGAAATAGATAAATATATCTATATATAAAACTATATTTAAGTGTTTAAGTAAAATAAATATATATCGCTCATTCGATTACTCCACCATTCCCCGTTTGTCCCTGAAGAAGAAAGGCCCAGTTTTTCGAAAGCGCTCGGGTTATAGGGTTTTTATTCATTTCTATCAATAATTCTTGAACCTACGTGTTTTTCATTAAATAAAGTATATGTATGTATCAAATATGTATATTTACAAGTGCTGGTTTGGGTATAATACATAACTTTTTGGCTTTAAATACTGTTTTTAAGTCTTTCTTTGAGTTCATTATCTTATTCCCTTTCTGGAGTTTATTAGATTATAGTGTAAAACTACCTGTGAAACGGGTTCTTTTAAATTTTTGTTTTGAAAATTGAACAAGAAGTTAATGAAGTAAAGTTTAGAAAACTTGCTTTGGACTGTTTAATGTGTGTGTGTGTATACGTATATATATAATTATTAATCCAGGTTATGAATCCAAGTTTTTCCGTAGGTTATTTTCTTTTGTATCACACTTTGGTTTTTGTTTGTTGACTCAATAATGACAGGCTGATAATCATAATGCTCAGTTTATTATACGTTTGATTATATTAAACCTTTAGTATATTAAACTGTTTTTATGCAGATTCTGCGGAAATGGCTGGTGGGAAGGTGAGAGTATTTCCTTTTGTGGTCGAGTGGAAGTGTTCCTGCCCGTCATGCAAGTACTATCATCTCCTTGCGGGTTTGCCCTTTTTAAACACCCTGGCGCAACTTTTGCCAAGGTTTTATCTAGGGCTAATATTGTGGGTTAACTAGTATGTGTCCGTCTCTTTTTTTAGGGGCAGGCAGGGGGGGCTACCCAAAAGCAAAAATATAGGCTGATGCTCACGTGCACCAGTAACGTATTCAAGTACGTGATATCTTAGGAGAAAGGACCTACTTCAAATTCGATGAAATTCTTTTCTTTAAATGTTGAAATCTGAATCGGTTTTTCTGTGGTTGAAGTTTGCACGAAAAAGAGCTTATCTTAAATAATTATGAAACTGTGTTTAGAGATCTAGTCACAGAGACGACAAACATGAAGAATGGATATCTCTCATGCACCATCAACTGTGGTCACATCGGAGGCATGACTATTAGTTAACGAATTTTTCGTGTTTAGCAAAAAATCTGTTCACCATTACTTCCTTTCAAAGTCAACGTTTTTTTGTGATAATAAGCTGCACGTGCTATATACTTCCTTTTCTCAGAATTGTTTACGTCATTTATCGATGAATTTCGAAAACGGCGTAATCATTCAAAATAGCTAACACTCGCCTGTTTTAATATTATTTTCGCTGCAACTTTTTGAAATGTTAATTAGAATACGTGTTATTGGTTATTATACAAATATACAGGTGTCGCTGTAGCTGTAAATATAAAACAATGGCGTAATGTTGTATATGGAGTCAGATCTTGCCATTTTTCAGTTTAGCTTGTTGGATTTGTAATCACTAAAAATACGTTACAAATCAAAATTTATTTTAAGGTATTCCAATTTTCTCTGATGTTGTTGTTATACTGAAATTCTACAAGAGAAACTGGGCATTTGACAGTTTGTAACAAGATGCTTATAAGTCATTAACCAATGTTTTTAAGGGACATGGTACAACTTGTAAATTGGTTCATGCACGTAACTCTATGAACTGAAGAAAATATTTATATGTGAAAACTAAAATAAATATTAAGAAGTAGTTTAATAATTTTGAAGGTTTTTATGTCCTTCAACTGTGCTTATCAAAAAATTTATGGATATAATTGTTGGTTTTGCATTAATTCAAAATCTAAAGAACAAAAACGTTACCGGTAGTTTTTTTCTATGAAATATGTATAATTTTAAAGATAGTTAATTACTATTGTAACGATTTTTTCTTTTCCTCTTTTGAATTCTGTTAATGAAGATAATGAATGAGACTGTTCAATCGAACAGCAACGTTCTTATGGAACTTAAAGAGCTGTACATATATATATATGTAATTCAGTGATGCACGTAATTCGGGACAAAAGTAGCTCAAAGATTCATTATAAAATAAAGCAGGATTACACCAAGAAGCTAGCCCATTATTATTAATGAACGTAGAATGTAACGCGAGAAGCAAACGACTTCTACTAAAACATTTGTAAAAGATTGCGATAAATGGTGCCTAATTTTAACAGTTAGATTGAATTATAAGCATGGACACTAGCATTATACATAATTTAATAATTGAAGCCACACTTATTAGATAAATGTCTGTAAATAATACAAAAACACAAATATATATAATTCTTAAAAATCAAACAAGGTGTGTTGCATCAAATGTCTGCTTAGATATAATATTGGTAATTCTTGGAGTCACAGAGTAAAGTTAAGTAACGTATGATTATTATTATTTATTTACTACGAAAGCTAAATAGTAATTAATTTTTTAGCTAATCATTTGTTACTTCTTCTACTGACTTGTTAAAGTAACAGAAACATGGTTTGCTCGATCTCAAGCATTGTTGTTCAGCAGTAACTAAGGTGAGTTATGATAACGACTAATTTTTTGGCCACGGTGGTTCCAGTGTCTCAGTACTTTAATGTTACGAATCATCTTTCAGTTAGACATTCTATCTTTGTTTCTTTTTGTTTTTTTGACACTGTACATCCAATATTTTACTACTGCACAAGACAAACAAGTTTTATTTAAAACTGAAAACTTGAAGCTAAATTAGCACCACCCTTACTGTTTGGTAATAGTCTTCACACATGTAAGCACAGTGTGATTTTATGATTACAGCTAATTTTGCTACTTTAGCAACGTATCACCGGTGCTTGAATTACTCCCAGCATCGTCTTACAACTCCTAGGTTTACAGAGTAAATCGTCGATTACAACACTTCAGTAATTTTATTATTATTATTATTTTAAATATTCGAACGGCAGGTTTGTAGTAAATTTAATTTAGATTGAACATTTAATCTTATCAAAACATAATATCTGGAAAAGAAAGTGTGATAAACCGAACCAGATCTTCCTCGGACGCCTGATCTGGTTCAATGATCTGTATGGATCCACGCGATTTGTCCGACTCTTGATCTATCTAAATATATAAACATATATCTATACATATTAATTATTGTTTCTTGTTTGTGTGACAGTAATAAATTGCTGGTTTAGGATAAACATCTTGTTTTGATAATTTCCTAGTTCAATTGGGGAAAATATGTTAATATCAATGTTTTAGGTTTATCAAAACCGGTGACTTGTATTGCTATTACGTACTGTATTTGAAGTAATGTACACCAGTTATCGTGAAAAGTGTTGCTTATGTGTTAAATAATAATAATGATTTTTTTTTCAATATAAGCTTAGTCTGTGATTAAAACGTTCCTCACATTTCTGTTTAAATATCTTAGTTGTTTGCCACTTTGCCATTAAACAAAAGAAAATCACATTAATTTCTGTTATTTTTATCTTTAGTAAGGTGGCTTGCTTTTGTTATCATATTGGATATGTCTGAACTCATCTTAATGTCAAATGAAATTTCAAATTGCACATGAAATGTAAACGGCCAACATTTTAGTGAGAAAGTAAGTTGAGGAAACACTGAGTATTGCTAAGTCAAATCAGTAATTCCACTTTCAGATAATATGTATATTCTTAAATAGTCATAATAACTAATTGTAATTTTTAATAATACTGTTTTGTGTTTTTAAGATAAGACTAGAAACTTTGTAGTCGTAAAATACTCTTTGTGACTGTCGTGTGTGTATGTTGCATATTCAAAGTGTTAAAAATAATGCCAATTTATTATATATATATATGTGTGTAAATGTTTAAAGTGTCCCAAGCAGCAACGTCCAGTTTTTCTTACGAAAACAAAGTCTAAGTTTGAAATTTTGAAAATGTCCTGTGAGAACCAAAAAGAAACATTTCTCGTGTCACTAAAACTTTTATTTGATTCTTTTACATGTTTATGTACAACAACACGTTGTCGTTGATTTTTAAGTATATTATTAGTGGAGTGATTATGATAAAATACATGAATACAACTTAAAGTGACTTTCTGCTGAAATTAAGAAAATTAAATCCAATGCCTTGAGCTGTAAAAGCAGTCAAGAAGAAAAAAGAAAGCTATGCCTTGCTCCATACTGTTTGATTTTAACTGGGTTCGAATTCATTGGTGCAAATCTTTTACTATGTCTAAACTGGTCACAATATTTTATTTAAAAGTTCATATTAATAAAAAAGTAGAATCATATAACTAGTGTTGATGTTGCTAAACAGCAAAAGCGTCAAAGTGTCAGATGAATTTCCATGTTGAAATGTTCGCCCCCGTTACTACCAAAATAAAACAAAAAATGCACTCCGTTCTTTGGGGCAGTGGATACGCTATAAAAGCGACGGTAAATCCTGCTATTCGACCTGATAAGAGTAGCCTAAGATCTGGCGGTTGTCGGTGTTGACTAGCTACCTTCCTTCTAGTCTACCACTATAAAATTAGGGACAGCTAGCCTAAATTGCCCACGCGTAAGTTTGCGCGAAATTTAACAAACAAAACCATATTGAAGTCACTTATAAGTTGTAATTGTTAACGTTTTTTTTCTCATTTCTTTAACGGTACGTTTAAGATAAGGTTCTAGATAAGCTAACAGCCAAAACTGTAAGATGATTTCGGACCTATACAAATACGTTTTGTTTTGAATTTGAAACACTTCCGTTTTGACAAAATTAAATCACACGACATTATTCTTCGAAATTACACCGCCATCATCAAGAGATGTTTAATGTGCCTACGTGCTTTGTTGCAGTTTCATATTGTTTTTTGTTGTTTAATTTTTTTATCATGAGCTGTAAGTATGTTAGATAGATACAATATATCAGTCATTAAGATATTTTGTGAGAGTGAAGTTAAAAATAGAGGCTCTGGAGTGCCATACAAATTCTTATGTTCGTGCTAGTTGACTTTCCTGCAAGAATATGGCTTAATAATTCAAAGTAGGCGTTTGTTCGGAAATAACGTAGCCGAAAGAACAACTGTGAAATAACACATACTGTTCCAAGTGCAGGATTGTCTTTACAACATTTCTGTAAAATTAAATTCATTTTATTTTCGTGATAACCTTAATGAATATTTTAACCATACATCAGTAGATTATCTGTAGAAGCGCTGCTGTTTTGTTGAAGTTTGAAGTCCATTTATTAATTGAACCAATTTGTTTTACTTGCAACTCCTTTTAAATTTCTGTCCTTTGATAGGTCAGCAGTAAGTTTTCGGACTTGTAACGCTAAAATACGGGATTCGATTTCCCGTAACGTACAGAGCACAAATAACAAATTGTGTATCTTTTCGATTAACAAACCAACAGACCCTTTAAATTTCTTACCATAATTTCGTTGCTGTATTAATTAATATTTTAATTTTGTTTGAAAGACGGAAAATTTATGGCGAATATCTTCGTACTTCACATCCATTCATCACCAATTACTCATGTTTCCCTCGGGACATAACTGCGAACAAACTACCTTCAGGATGTCTTACGAAATAAATAAAGTCACGAAAATAATCGTGTTTTATCCTTAAGGAGTAATTTGGTAAAACTAATACTCGTGTTTTCAAGAAGGTGGTGTTCTTAAAAGAACCAAAAATCTATTTTATATATAGAAACCTTAAAATCATCAAATAATTTAGAAATACATTATAATTAACTAAAAATTAAGAACACGGTTTAACCGGTTATCGACATCCGTGCTAGGCAGATCCAAAAATAGCCTATTGTGACCTTTGCACTTGACAACAAACAATTAAAAGAGATATTGTGCTATAGAAAATCCTGTCCCCTTCTTAATCTACTTCGTAGGAAGAAAAAAAGTAAGTAAATTAGAAATATTTCCTGAGTACACATTCCTAATTGAATTTTCTATTTTTAGACGTTAATGAGGCAAATCAAATATAATATTATGCTGTTTGGAACAAATCAGACTTTTCTGCTTCTGTGTTACAGTGTTTACCCAAAGCAAAAGGCAGCGACAGGCCCTAATAGTACTGATCAATTAATTAAAGCTTGCGTGCAATAACTAATGGAGCAGAAGTAGATTAAGAAGCATCTTGTCTACACGGAAGTTTCAATACCTAAAGTTGAATCAACACCTCTTAGAAAGTAGAAAAGTGTGATTTTTAAAATATATTTGAATCAGATTATCAGCATTAAAACTTAAGAGATAGATTACAGTTGTGATTAAAAATAAAAGATGATTGAACGTTTCTTATTTGACTGTTTTTATCTTTGCACATTGTTTGTAGGCTTGCTTTTATTACTTTGTAAGATCTACTGAAATTACGTGAATAAAACCATATACTTCGTAAATATAGTATGTCTTTGAAGGACCTAATTACATTTATTTTTATCTAAAAGTTTTTGACTAAGTAATATTAGCATTTTTGTTAATTAAAGAACGTATATATATATGTGTGTGTGTTTTTTATATAAAATAATACTGTATATTGAAAGAAAAGAGAATCAGTATTTTTGTTTTTGAATAATGACATCAATCCAAATCTCGACCTTCTCTAACTAACAAAACCACACTAATCTTGACCATCAGTTGCACTTTTGTGAAAGTCATCATGTTGCATACAGAGTTATATTTAGTGTCCTGTTAACAAGTAGCTTGTAGTAATATTGTGTATTTGAAAAGTCCATAACTTGGCAAAGCAGAAATCCTGGTGATCAAATGCATTTTGGACGATAGTATAATTGAATGTCATGATACTCTAAAGCATTTTAATCGTTTTTTTTTACCAGTTATTACAAATTAATATTTGCAAGAAACCGATGTTAACCTAAATATCTGTTTTGTAAATTGAATAATGTTCGGTGAAGGCATTTTCAGTGTTTTATTAATGTTTTAATTGAATGTTGATTGAAACAAACGAAGTTAAATTTTTTAATGTACTTTGAAAAATCCCAGAACTCGACATTACTGCTTCTACTTAACGTGTTAATAACTATAATGTTTTACATGGTTACGGTTAATCATAAAACTCAACATTTATTTGTTAAGTATACTTCTAAGTTAAGGAACGTCTAAGGGGCCACCACGAAGTTCGTCGGATATGCCTCCAGATAAACTGTTGTTCCAGTATGGATATAAGGTCTGACTTGTAGATTTGTAGATACAAAAAATAAACCTCGAATATGGTCTGGAAATATGACGTTATTTTTTTCAAAGTAAAAAAATGCTCAAGAAAAGAAACATTTGAGGAACAATTGGTGATAGATTCAAAGTGAATTATATATGTCCAGTTTGAGTATAAGCTGTTATGGCCATCACAGCTGAGGTTTAAGTTGTTCTTCTCACGCATCATAGCTGCAGCTTCT